ACGCTTGAGGTATTCGTCCAATCACTAGGCACTGTATAGTTGGCCAATCACAACACACCTCGCTTTTTCAGACCGATGAGCTTTGTAAAAATCGACGCGTTTCAGAAAGGCGGGGCATAGAAGAGAAACAATAATGTACAGTATGTGGAAAATAATGTGTTTTTTTAACCTTAAACCGCATAAACACATTTCATTACACCAAATACACAAAATAATGTTCTTTTTAGCAGCATCATATGACCCCTTTAATATAACAAGCACATTTTGAGTGAGTTTTATATTGTACCTATTTTCTCATTTTGCTTGATGAAGAGTCCAAACAAAGCCACAGCAGAACATTGTCCTACAAGCAATACACAGCAGCCTTATATTGAATGATTCACTTTATTCCTCACTGAATGAATCTGTTTGAATGAATGATTTAATGTCTTACTCTAAAGATACTTGCCGCCACCTGCTGGCTGTTTTACTTTCATTTTGTTGCTGTATTCTAACTTTATATATTTAAAACATGATAGTGTTACACAATTATATAGCTTGTTGCATATGTTGCATAGTGTTTATGTAAATAAACACAATATGCAAATAAATCGTTGTGGATATCAAATCCACCTGGCCTCTGTAACTGTCTCCTCTGTAACACTATCGCGTTCATTGATCAGCAGTCAGATCTAGCCTAGTCAGTGCAAAAACATTACATTAATTTATTCATAATTAATTTACTCATTTAACGTTAACGGATCGCCAGGCAGGTGTGTACAGCAGTGACTGGCAGACACATATAATGGTGTCCTGTATGGAAAGATGTTTCCCAGCTGACAGCTGTCCATTTTCACCTGTACAAGTGAACAGAACACTGAGCATCAGCAGCTAATGAGGTGCGTTGGAGTGATGTCACTGCCCCTCTTTCTTCCACTGAGCATCAGCAGCTAATGAGGTGCGTTGGAGTGATGTCACTGCCCCTCTTCATCTGATTGGCTGGAGGGGGAGCTGTCAATCTAGAACTAGTGGACCAATGATGACACTTAATCCAGCCCTGATTTACATGAAACTCTAACGGCAACATTTGGAAAAGCAAGCGCAGAACGTGGAAACAAGAGCAAAGGGAAAAACAGCACAAGCATACAAAAAATATGAGCAGAAAATGTCTGAGAGCAGAAAACTGAGAAATATAACCAAGGAAAACATGATTTTGTGTGCAAGTCAGACAAATTTGCATTAATATTTCAGTTTTCAGTTGTGTATAAATACCTTACAAAATTCACCGTTATGTTTTAATTACCTTAGAATAAGCCATTTCTATCTACATACAACGCGGTTCCCCCTCCATGGTTAAGTGAGGTACTCACCTTCATATTTTTTCATTAAATAACTAATATAGTAATTGTTTCTTTTTAATTCTTGCCAGTGTTTAACCAGTCAGCGCTCGCGCGCTCTCCTGGAGACTGAGCGCTCATGCACACTGGCAGCGCACTATAGGGTGTACTATATGCAGTTTTTGCTGATTGCTAAGCAAACTGAGAGGAGAACTAACGTGTATACGCTCGCCAGCCGTCTGGCCAAAATCCCATAGTATTCAGGCGTCAGACGTAAGATATGAGACGTTAGACGTCACAGGCACGTGTCGGAGCTGCGCTCAAACTGCGTGGAGGCGTGGCGGCGACGTAGCAAAAAAAGGATTTTTTTTACTTTGCGTCTGGATAACGTACGTGTGGATAAACGTATGAGTGAATAACTACTTTGATAATCATTTGGCTTTGTCCCAGGCGGCGTCATACCCTAGCCCAGTCAGGTGTGCCGTGGAAAAGCCAAACTCTCTATTATATTTCTAATGTAAGGGTAAATAATAAATGATGTTTGAATAAGCGTTTTCTTCACTAAAACACTATGTTATAAAGGCTAATGTTTTTTGTGTGTTTGAAGAGCGGAGAATAGCTTTTGCCGTCTATTTTAGAGGCAGTTTGCATCGTCGCTACGTTGAAGATGCACGAAGTAGTAGTAGTTGTTGTCGTGTGGTTTATTAGAAGCAGAGGTCGTTCGTAGAAGTAAGAAGAGTAAGAAACGCTTGAATGGCTACTCTCTGCTGTCTCAGATGACGATATCTTTGTCCTCTGTCAGCAACCGTAGCTTCTCAGGGGGAGGGCTAATCCATTTATTGCAATTCGCAACATCACCGCTAGATGCCGCTAAAATCTACACACTGCACCTTTAACTGGAACCAGGAACACTTCCCATAACACCTGATGTACTTTTGTTACATTGAAAGAGGAATGGTATCTACGCTTATACAATGATTAGCCACAACATTAAAAACACTGACAGATAAAGTCAATAACATTGATTATATTGTTACAATGGCACCTGTCAAGGGGTAGAATTAGGCAGCACGTGAACAGTCAGTTCTTAAATTTCATGTTTTAGAAGCAGAAAAAAATGGGCAAGCGAAAAGAATCAGATTCAGGGTCATGGGCACCCAAGTCTCGATGCATGTGGACTGGGGAGTGAGGGCTAGCCTGTCTGGTCACACAAAAGAGCTACTGTAGCTCAAACTGCTGAAAAACCTAATGTTGCCCATGATAGAAAGGTGTCATAGTGTAGAACACACAGTGCATCGGAAATTGCTGCGTAGCCAGGCAGAGTGCCAATGATGACCCCTGTTCACAGCAGCAAGCGCCTACAAATGGGCATGTGAGCTTCAGAACTGGACCATGGAGCAATGGCAGAAGGTTGTCTGGTCTGATGAATTATGTTTTCTTTTAGATCAGGTACTGTAGATGGCCGGGTGCATGTGTGTCATTTACCTGGGGAAGAGATGGCAGCAGGATGCACTATGCGAAGAAGGCAGGCCGGTGGAAGCTATGTTACGCTCTTGGCAATGCTAAGTTGGGAAATCTTGAGTCCTGGCATTTATGTGGATGTTACTTTGACACATGCCACCATGGTTTAAGGAACATGACAAAGAGATCAAGGTGTTGCTTTGGCCTCCAAATTTCCCAGATCTTAATCTGATTGAGCATCTATGGGATGTGCTGGACCAACAAAACAGATTCATGGAGGCCCCACCTCCTCCAGGACTTAAAAGATCTACTGCTAATGTCTTGGTGCCAGATACCACAGGACACATTCTGAGGTCTTGTAAAGTCCATGCCTCAGTGCACCAGAACTTTTTTGCCAGCACAAAGGGGACTTACATGATATTAGGCAGGTGGTTTTAATGTTGTGGCTGATCAGTGTATAAGTCTGTTCTGTGGTTCCTTGCTACTATCGCCTTTGGCTTGCTCAGTTGGGGCTTAAAAGACCATCATTATTAAATATTATTATTTTGCCTTCACTGACACTATCAGATGAGAACAAATCTAGAACTGGACACTTGGATAATAACACTGTTGTCTTCTGTTGAGCTTCCTTTTGAGTCCATCATTGATTAACTTTGCAACATTGACACAGTTATTGAATTTAACTGAATCAACAATTGAGTTGAAAATTCTAGAGCTGCTTTAATTAATTAATTTCATATATGACATTTTCTACATCAGCATAGATGCAGCATATTCTACATAGAATCAACACTGAACTTGTTTACTTTAGCTGAATCATGATACTATCTCAAGTTGAGCTGCTTTATAACTGAATTCAATTTGTTTTATAATTAACGGACTGCAACACTGAAAATGTTATTTAACATGAACCTAAATTAAGCTGAATAATGACAACTGTCTGTACAGCTGAAAGTTAAGTAATTTCATAATTAAATTTTGCGACACTGTTTGTTTCGGTGAAGCTGATTTGAAACAATCTGTATTGTATAAAGGCCAATACAAAGAACTGTGACTTGACTTGAAATGTGTCATGATTAGTGACATGACAATACAGAACGCTGATGTCAGGGTAACTTACTCAGCGCTCTTGCTAGTGTGACATTACTTGAGTATATCATGCTACGGTAAAGGCAATTTTCAGGATTATCTATCATATTTGTTCACGTGTTTCTACGTTCAGGTGTACAAAAAGGCCCTACCTTTTGTTTGAAGCGCCGCTCATCTGCCGTGATAAACTCACAGCCTTTATGCATGTCCTGCAGACAGGTACTGCAAATGCAACTCTGGTGCTGACTGCAGTAGAACTCCATCAGTTTGCCATGATCTGAACAGAGACGGTCCATCAGATCTGGCAGCGGATCACACAGTTGATGGGCCCGAAAAATGGCATTCTCTCGGTGAGGCCTGACATGGTCTTCACAATAAGACGCCATACATGTCAAACAAGTTTTGACCGCTTTGGCTTCCATGCAGTTGTCACACCTGATCGCGTCTGGATCTTTCCTTTTCACCTCAAAATGTTCCTTGACGGGCTCAGAAACACCCGCTTTTATTCTATAGGCATCAAGCACCGCGCTGAGGACGGTGTTCTTCTTTAGTTCAGGTTTACTGGTGAACACCATTCGGCACTGAGGGCAGGACAGAGATGATACCCTGTCGTTCCATGTCGCTTCGAGACAGTTGGCGCAGAAACTGTGTCCACAGATTAAACTCACCGGGTTCTCGAACAGACATAAACAGATACTGCAAGTCAACTCGTCCTCTAGACCCAGTAGAGACATATTTTCCGCCATTTTGACACGTCCAAGGTAACATCGACAACTGAACGCACTCTCAACCACACCCTTAGTGAAAACGAAACTAAACGAGGCGGAGAAACGAAACTTAAACGGTCCACACGTCACAGAGTCATGAATAAACGAATGAACTAAGTAAAGATTTGTCAATAGACAAAATAATATTACAAAAATTAACTGCGATTATTATTCTAAATTTTGAATTAGCTGATATCCACATGTAGAAATTGTTGCTAAATAGTACCTTAATGCTACATTCAATGTTCTAATACAATGTATATAAAACTAATTGTAATAATAATAATAATAATAATAATATTAAAGCTGAAAATAACATAAAACAAACATAAAATAACATAAAACAACTGCGCATATGATTGTTTTCGCGTAAAGGTACAAACAGTTTCTTCAAATGAGCACAAGAGGACGCTGTTTACTTATAAAATCGTTGTTTGAACATTTGGTTAGTAAAAGCAAGACTGAAAATCTGAATAGAATTTGGAAGTTTTTGAAGAACTTTTTGAAGAATCCTTTTAGCATCATTATTTTATTTATCAATAGCCTACGTCAAGGTGTTTTTGCCACTCAATTTCCCTTCAGCAAATTGCATTCATGGAAAAAGACCACTTCTTGAATGTGTGATCTCATACTGAGCAGAAGACTTTTGTGGGTCGTGGTGAATTATACTTTAATCTGAAGTTTATCCAAATTAAACAGATAAACAATTCACAGTTTTTTTTAAAATACTGACGCACATTTTCAGGTTTCTCCAGAAATGTTTGATTGGGTTCAAGCCCATTCACAGAGTTGTCTATAAGCCACTCCTGCTGTGTGCTTAGGGTTTATTGTCCTGTTGGAAGGTGAACCTTCTGCCCAGTCTGAGGTTCTGAATGCTCTGGACTGGGGTTTCTTTAAGGCTATCTCAATATTTTGGTGCATTGAGCTTTTCCTCTACTCTGACGAGCCCCTCAGTCCCTGCCACTGAAAAACAGCCCCTCAGCATGAGACTGCTACCAGCACACTTTACTTTTGTGATGCTACTCTGCAGGTGATGAGCAGTGCATGGTTTCCTTCAAACATGATGCTTGGAATTGCGGTTCATCAGACCAGAGAATCTTGTTTCTCACAATCTGAAGGTTCTTTAGGTGCTTTTTTTTTGCAAATTCCAAGTGTGTTTTCATGTGTCTTCACTGAGGAGAGGATTGAGTTTGGCCACTTTACTTTTGTGATGCTACTCTGCAGGTGATGAGCAGTGCATGGTTCCTTCAAACATGATGCTTGGAATTGCGGTTCATCAGACCAGAGAATCTTGTTTCTCACAATCTGAAGGTTCTTTAGGTGCTTTTTTTTTGCAAATTCCAAGTGTGTTTTCATGTGTCTTCACCGAAGAGAGGAATGAGTTGGCCATACCGCCATAAAGACCAGATCGGTGGAGTGTTGCAGTGACGTTTGTCCTTCTGTAGGTTTCTCCTATCTCCACATATGATCATAGAGCTCAACTAGAGTGGCCATCAGGTTTTTGGTCACCAGTCTAACCAAAGCCCTTCTCCATCGATTGCTCAGTTTGGCCAGGAGGCCGGCTCTAGGAAGAGTCCTGGTTGTTTCAAACTTCTTCCACTAAGAGTAATGGAGAGTACATGCTTCTGCGAATCTTCAATGCAGCAGAATTTTTTCTGAACTCTTCCCCAGATGTGTGGCTTGATGCAATCCTATTTTTGAGCTCTACAGGCAGTTCTTTTGAACTCGAAGTGTAGTAACATCTACAAGTGATATGAATGCTCCTGAACTAAATTTCAACTGTCCCAGATAAGGGTATGAATACTTATGCAATGGAATCTTTTAAGTTTTTTTATTTTTAACAAATTTGCAAAAATGTTAAAAACCTGTTTTTTGCTTTGCCATTATGGTGTATGGAGTGTAGATTGATGTGGAAAAAAAAGTAATTTAAAGATAAAGCAGCAACATAAAAGAATGTGAAAAAAAAATTAAGGGGTATGAATACTTTCGCAAGGCACTGTACATTATATTGGTCAAGTCAAGTCAAGTCACCTTTATTTATATAGCGCTTTTAACAATACAGATTGTGTCAAAGCAACTGTACAGCATTAATTAGGAAAATAGTGCAGTGTTGACAGTTGACAGGAAATTAGTCGTGTTGAATGTTTAACTTTTTTTTTCCTTTTTGGTATTTAAAAATATTCAAGTATCTATTAATCGAGCGCAGCGTTAGTTCAGTCAGGCCACGTAGGCATAGGCTGCGACCAGCTGATGCGGTCAGCTGTCAAATCGCTCCAATCACTACCATTCTCCTATTAGACACGGGACACCCCCATAGGAACCATACCGCCAAAGATAAATTGTGTTTCAATAAACTCAAGTAACTTGCCAAAGTGGTCCTGTCTGAACTTAAGTATATATCTATTATTGGTGTAACGGGGGTTTTGTTCCTTGTTCATTGTTTTCATGTCTTTTATTTTGGAGTTTAGTCAAGGTTCCTGTTTAGTCATGTGGTTCCTTTGCCCTCTTGTTTTCCTGCTATTGGTTCCTTTGTTCATTGTGTCATGTTCTGATTGGCTGTCTTAGTCATGTGTCCTGTCTCTCATTGGTTGATTCTTGTCATGTGACCTGTATTGTTTGATATAGTTGCCATTGCCATGTTGCCATTGTCTCCTGTCGAGTATTGATGTTGTAACCTGCTGTTGGTGAGTCAAGTTTGTTCAAGTCTGTTCATGCCAAGTCAAGTGTCTGTTTGGATTATGTTTGTATTACTTTTGGAATAAAGCTGCACTTGGGTTCTTAAACTCACCTTCAGTGGACTGCTTGTTACAGAATACTCGACTGCAACTATGAACCCAGCAATTTCTTGCCTTTTGCGCCTTCGTCAAGGTAATCACACTATTGAGGAGTACGTGGAAGACTTTTGTGAACTCTGTCACTGTGTGGACTTTAAAGGCAGAGTAAGTGATTTTTCAAAAACACTTTAGAAAACTGATTCGGGCCGAATCGCAAAACAAACTTGTAGCCAATCAGCAATAAGGGGCGTGTCTACTCGTGATGTGGAGGAGAGCGCGTTCAGTGCATGGGACAGACATTAGCCGAGCCGAGCGACAGAAAGATAGAGATGGCGGATAAAAAAACAAAAGAGGAAAACGTCTGCGGAAAGATAAGGCAAGAAGTAGGACCCGTGTAAATATCAGATCAGCTTTCCAGCGCTGGAGAGAACTCAAGGAGCGGAGGCCTGCGATCGGACGCCGAGGTTGCTTTGTTTCTTCTCAATAGGTGAGTAACACCGTGTCTACAACAGCTAAAGTCTGACTACACTGGACGCGATCAAACGACCGTTGAAAACCATTTGAAATTTGTGTCAGCACGTCATAAATAGAACCCGGCAGCAGTTTTCTGTCGGGATTTGTTGCGCCGCGCCGCTCACGTCCGTAGACACGGTGTAACATTGGTTTTGCTTTGTTTCACAGAACTAATCGTTGCCTGGGTTGCGTACGTATATGTGGGGCGGAGCTATCAAAATAGGGGCAAGACCCTTTTGGGGTAGGGCCGTGTTTGTTTTGGTGATTTCAAATATCAACATTGGCTACCAGAAATCACTTACTCTGCCTTTAATGATGTGGCACTAAAGGACATTTTTTGTTTTGGTTTAAATGAACCCTTACGTTCTCAGTTGCCTGGGGAAAGATCATCCAGCGCCTGCTCACGTCACGTCTGCTATGCCAAGGCATGTCCATGTCATGTCTGCCAAGCCAGAGCCTGCTCGAGTCATGCCGGCCACTCAAGTGACTCTTTACAAGATGGCCGCCACTCATAAGCCTCTTTGCAAGATGGCCACCATTCCAGAGTCTCGTCCCATCATGACCACCATTCCAGAGCCTCATCCCATCATGGCCGCCATTCCAGAGCCTGGTCACGACATGGCCACCATTCCAGAGTCTGCTCACGTCAAGACTGCCACGCCTGAGTCCCCGGCCAAGATGGCCACCACGCCTGAGTCCGCTTCTGAACTCTCTGACTGCCCTATCACGGCCAAGAAAGCTGTTCATAAACTCACCGTCTGCCCTGTCACGGCCAAGGAGGCCGTTCATGAACTCACCGTCTGTCCTGTCATGGCCAAGGAGGCCGTTCATGAACTCACTGTCTGCCTTGTCATGGCCATGGAGGCCATTCATAAACTCACTATCTGCCTTGTCACAGCCATGGAGGCTATTCATGAACTCACAGACTGTCCTGTCATGGCCAAGGAGACCGTTCACAAACTCACAGACTGTCCTGTCATGGCCAAGGAGACCATTCAAGAACTCTCTGCCTGCTCTGTCACTGTCAAGTGGTCTATCCATGTCTCTGCTCCACCCTGGATTCCTGCTCTGCCGGCACCGCCATGGTTCCCTGCCCTGCCTGCTCCTTCATGGCTCCCTTCCCTGCCCTCTCCGCCAGGGTTCCATGCTCTGCCTGCTCCGCTCCATGCTCCTCTGGATCAGACATGGTGGATTTCTGCTCCATCGTTTCACTGTCTGCCTCTGTTCCATGACCCAGGTCCACCATTGCTCCACTGTCTGCCTCTGCACCACGGCCCAGGCCCACCACTGTTCTGTGATTCTGATCCTGTTCCCCTGCATGGGCCTGGCCCTACATCCCTCCCCCTGTTCCGCCTTCGCTCTACCACCCTCCTTGACTTGTTGGGTTTTGTTAGGGCATCTGGAGCCGCCCTTAGAGGGGGGATATGTAACAGGGATTTTTGGGTTTTCTTCCTTGTTCATTGTTTTCATGTCTTTTATTTTGGAGTTTAGTCATGGTTCCTGTTTAGTCATGTGGTTTGTATTTTGGATTACTTTTGGAATAAAGCTGCACTTGGGTTCTTAAACTCGCCTTCAGTGGACTACTTGTTATAATTGGCTAAAGAGATATGTCTTTAATCTAGATTTAAACAGATTAGATACACAGGAGCTAAACCATTTAGGGCCTTATAAGTAAGTAGTACTATTTTGTAATTGATACATTACTTAATAGGTATAGCCAGTGTAGAGGTTGTGAAATAT